CGACACATCCTCTCAAATCCTCAAACTCTGGTTTGCAGCCATGGATCACAAGCTGATATCCAGAAACTTCAATGAAATCCAAACTGATTGCCATTTGAAACTAAAATCATCAGCAATGGCGTACACGGCCCTGCTATCCAGGGCTTCCACTGCCTACTTCCCTCTTCACCGTTCCCAGCTTCACCCTCGCATGCAGTCATTATCTCCTCCTGCACCACAAAACCCTCGCCTTAATAGACTCTTCATCCTGTTAGCTTCTCTCTTCACCATCCCCTTCCTTTTTTATCTCTTCACCACCGCTCGCAGGCTCCACCATTCCTCCAAATTCGCCGATCCCGCTTCTCAATTTTTCGGTGTCCACATCCATTCGAGCTCCGCTGGTTCTCGGGTCCGCGTCTTCGAGTTCCTAGGTGAAGGCAGCTTGCCTTTTGTGGATTCCCTGATGGTCCGCCCGGGGCTCGCGGATGAGTCGGGGACCGCAGGTCGGTCGTTGGATGAGCTGATTAAGTTTGCTAAGAGCAGAGTTCCTAGGAGGGAGTGGTGGAAGACGAAGGTACAGTTGATGGCTAGTGGCGAGGGGATCACAGAACGCATATTTGAGAATTACAGACGGGCTCTCAGGACGTCCGGCTTTGCATTCAGAGACGAGTGGGTGCGGTTGGTTAAAGGTTTAAGACTGTGTTTTCTTTTATGGCTTTATATACATGATACTGATGGAAGCTACTGGTTTATTTTTGGAAGTCTTGTGGATCATCTTATTCTGCTATCTCTGCAATTATATCTATTAATCTTAGAAGAATTCCGTGTTCTCGACCTTCTTTATTTCTTAGTTCCTTTGCGATTTGTAAGTACGATCAACTAACATTTTACGGAATGGCTCAGTACTGTTACAAATGGTATTAGGTATTACTATACCCAAATATGTTGGATGTGTGTGTTTCTGCTTGCATGTAGTCTATTAGTTCTGGGGGATGTGATGTTATTACAATTTACAATTTTCAAACAAAATTGTCTCTCTCTCTCTTCAATATGGAATTAATGAAGCACTTAATCTAATTGTTTATATATGTTAACTGAAAACATCCAATGTAAATAACATTTCTTGCGATCTTGATGCAGTTGAAGAAGAAATTATCTATGGATGGATTGCTGTTAACTATGCTTTTGGAACCTTGGGAAGACAACCTCAGGAAACCACTGGAGTAGTCAAACTTGGTGGGACTTCTTTGCAGGTTCTTTTCGTTCACATAACTTTTTATCACTGTATTTGTGGTTCTAGATGTACATTTTAACATTCTATACTTTTTGCCTGCTGATGCTCTAAACTCATGTTCTCTTATTTGGATACTAAAAGAAAAAACTTGTGTTGGTAATTGTATTTCTTCTAAAAGATGTACAGAATTGTGGTGCACTAACTCTAGGGTTTCTGCCGTTATATTTTTTTCCTTACATATCTTCTCAGTAATGGTTTCCCTCTTTGTTAGTGGCCTTGCTATGCCATGACTTCAATTTTTTTTTGAAATAAAAACTATGATATATATCATGAATTCACAAGCACCAAGGGGGTACTAGTCCATGCACAAAATTCCTTTAATGTTAATTAGGATATCAATAAGATCGGCAAGATCCTCCATAGAATAAAGAGGATGACCCATACCCAAAAAATCCAGGATCTGGAACCATCTATTTCTAATTCTCTCATACTCATCCTTCACCCCTTCAAAAGCTATTCTCTTCTTTTTTTCCACACCACCCAGAATATAGTAAGGGGGATGAGACCTACATGTTTCCTCTCACCACTAATACTCTTCTAGACCCAAATGTCATTCCTAACTGTACCAGCCATCATCCATCTAATTTCCAATAATTCTTACAACATGGTCCATAACTTATACACCAATGGGCACCAAAGCAAGGTGTGTCTATAAGACTCTGCTTCCCTCTTGCGTAGGAAATAACCATACAACATAATTTTTCTCTTCATTAACTTGTATATAGTAAGAATACACCCACGCCCTGCCTCCCTCGAAAAGAAAGCACCTCTGGATGAAGCATTCACCTTCTAGATTTGCTGGAAGGGAAAATTGGTCTCTTATGTCATTCGTAACCAAATAATTGTGGAAAGACCTAATTGAGAAGGTCCTGTGGAATTGAGAGTCCAGACAGCTTGGTCGTTGCTCTGGTTCATTGAGGCAAAGGAGAGTATACTTAATAGAGCCTCATAGTCATTAATCTCCCAATCACTGAAGTTTCTCATCTTATCTACTTGCCACTCCCTTTTCCCAAAGTCTCTGAATGACTAATGAACAAAGAGATCCTTGTGTTGTGCAACAGCGAAAGTTCATTGAGGCAAAGGAGAGTATACTTAATAGAGCCTCATAGTCATTAATCTCCCAATCACTGAAGTTTCTCATCTTATCTACTTGCCACTCCCTTTTCCCAAAGTCTCTGAATGACTAATGAACAAAGAGATCCTTGTGTTGTGCATTAGCGAAAGTTCAGGAAAACTGAGCTCTAAGCGGTCCCCATATAAGCCAATGGTCCTTCTGAAACCGATTTGTCCCTATTGCCTAATTATTGCCTCCTTCTCAAAGAATATCTTAAAACACCCTCGTAAGTTTCAATTTGTCTAAAAAATGTACCTTGTGTTTTTAATTGTAATTATTCGAACTCTACAAAAATGTTTGTCAAATTGCATATTCAATGAATCAATGAATTTATGACATGTGTCTAGGGATAAAAATGCCCAAAAGAAAAAACTGTAAAAAAGTCATTCTCCTTCCTCTTTCTTCTTCTTCATCGCCTTTTCTGATTCTGCCTCGTAACGTATCATAATCATATAAGACAACCAGAATCTTTAAACATCTTGCAAAAACACCACGTTCTTCCTTGGGACCAGCACAGACTTTTCCACCAGGCCCCTCCCTCACATACTGATTCTTGATTACAATGATTTCAGCCCCAAATATGAAATAAGGATTCCTGTTAAAATTGCTCATGATTATATCGAGTCGATAAAAAAAAAAAACTTTATAGAACCAAAAAACAACCTTTTCTTCTGTACCTTCTTTTAAAATAAATTTTCTGTTGATTTTCTTCACTAGTTAGCCTCTTCCAAAGCAATTTTGAGTTGATCTTCATTAAATTTTATAGATTATATCAAAACTCCATGGAAAATTCTCCAATTATTCCCAAAAAAGAAGTGTAAATTCAATCCTTTTCAGCTTCCCATGGAGAGCAGCATCTTCTTACATTATGACTATGTTTTTGGCATTTCATTCTGTGACTAGATCTGATGTCAACTTTTTGACCTTAAATTCTTCTGTAAGTAATTACTTCACTTGTAAGATTTTTTCTTAATTTTTGAAAGCTAATTAATCAAACTTTGGGATTTAATAATTTTTTTTAAGGTTAAAGTCCACCCAGAGGTTAAAGACTTTCTTGGGGTTTTGGTACTGGATAAGATTAATACTAAGGATTTGTTGCAGACGCAAAAAAATGAATTGAGCTCTCTCTCCTATTTTTGTGCTTTGCAATTGTTCTCTAAGCTCAGGAAAAAGTGATGACTTGCAAATTTTATTATCATCTCTTAGGAATAAAACAACTCTTAGACAGTGTGTTATCCATTAAGCAACTCTTTTATGATCAATAGTATTTTCCGGAATGAACTTTGGGATAGCTAGTTGTTGATGCCGACCCCATATAACTAGTGCCAATTATTTCCTAAGCTTAGTAGAAACTGATAAACAACGCATTTGGTTATTGTGCATTCATCAATTCTTATTCCAGTACATTATCCATGAACTTTGTAGTTGAGTGAATTATTATTTTTAAGAACAAATAGGTGTACACGCTCTGGCTATCTCTTTTGTATCAAGTCAATTGGCTGAATAACTCCGAAGAGTATCCTTTGATAAAGTTTTTCATATCATCAGATAAAATCTTAAATGATTCATCATTTTGGATGATACTATTTTTGAAATTACTTTAAATTATTTTAAATCGAAAAATACTAATGAGAGTAGAGTAATTAAGATAAAATTTTCCAAAACTTTTTTACGTGTGTCTTAGTGCTGCTTTGTCTTCTCTGAATTTTGTTTTACTCATCTAATTGTGCTGAATCAAGAATTGGATCTTTTAAATGATACTTTCAGGTTATTTTTGCTCTTAGAACACCATCAGAAGAGCAATATCTACGGAGTATCAAATTAGCCGGAGTTACTTACTATCTTAACACTCGAAGTCTGAAGCAACTTGGTCAGGTCTAACTTTACTTTATTTATATCTTGCTATTATTGGACTATTTGCATACACAATTTAGACCTATCTTTTGTGACCTTAACAATTTGTTTGAACCTTCTTTTCGCAGATACTCTTTATTATTTGTATAGTAAAATTTTAATCTCACTAGTGTAAAATTAATTTAAAGATTGATAATTAGTTGTTGAGATACACAATCATTCAGTTCCTTTAATAATATGCTTAGAACCAAATTTAAGAAAAAGATTGAATTTACGTCTGATGCTATGAAGTAAAGAAAATCTGCAGTTTGGAATATGTTGAGATTGAGTTAAAATATTAATTGATGCATTTGGATCAAAGATTTAAAAGTAATCTTTTACACTTGGTTGGATAAAAATTAGTGTAGGAAGGGAAAGGTGAGAAAAAGAGTGCTTTGAAAGGTAAGTAAATGAAAAGTGTTTCTCTTGGGTTTTTGGACAACTAATAGTTGTAAAAGTTAAGGAATAATTATTGTAATATTTTATTTGGTCTGCTTTTATAAGGATTGGAAATGTGAATTATGAAAAAATTAATGAGTGATACTTTTTATTAGTTGAATCATAAGTTATACAATTAAAGATAAAATAGAAATTTGCTTTTAGAAATTTTGAATCTTTTTCTTTCTTGTCCGTTTCCTCAATTTGGAGGAGTGAAGAAACTCCGCATTGTAAGAGAAATCGGGTATGCTCACCATCTCATTTTTTCTTTCACTGATTTTATTTTTTATCCAACGAAGCTAAAGAATGGTGAGACTTCCACATTTCCTTTCTGTTCTGCTTCCTCCCCTCAATCTAAACATAATGTTAGCAGTATGCTTGCCTGATGAAATAAAAAAGGACAAAAAGGGGACATTTGATGTGGAAAGAGGAGGATGTCAACCATCCTTAATTTTCCTCATTAATTTCATTTTTATCCAAATAAGCAAAAGGGTGGCAAGCATTCAAGCAAAATGAAGGAAACATGATAGAGTCCAAACACTTCACGTTTCCTTTCTGTTCCGTGCTCTTCCCTGTATGCAAAATTGTGTTAGCAATATACCTGAATGATGAAATAAAGGGCAAAAACAAGACGTGATGGGGAAAGAGGAGGATGCTCACCATTTCTTTCTTTCCGTTACTGATCTTTATTTTCTATTCAAACAAGCGGAATGATGGTAAGCATTTTACATTTCCTTTGCGTTCTGCTTCCTTTCCTCAATCCAAACACAATATTAGCAGTATGCTATAAAATAAAAAAGAAAAAAAAAGAGATAAGATTGGGAAAGAGGATAAAACTTCAGTGTCTGAATGCATTCATATGAATTGTCCAATCAGTAATTTTTAGAGAGGGAGAGTGGTTGTTGTAAGATAAGAGTTTATTTTCAATACTTGCAGTTTCCTTTCTCTGCCAAATCCTGTCAATTTCCAGTGCATGGGCAAAAACTAGATCTTTTTTAAATCATACTTGTTATGAGATTATTGTACTATTTTAACTTTATTAGTCATAATGGTTAATTTTTTATTGAAAAAGATATGAAAAAAGTTCTCAAATATGGTCATTTCAAATTCAATATAAGGTGCATAGCTTTTTGAGGACTTGGTTCACTTGTATGTATCATTTTCTAATGGTCTTCTCTTCTACCTTAAGCCTTATTTACTCATCATGTGTGAAGGGGAGGCTTGTTTTTAATGCCATTCCCTGATATACAAAAATATCCCAACACATTCAAGAACAAGAGGACATGGATGAAATAGTATCTGCCAAAAGTGATGTCCTAGTGTGTTGGTAAGAGATTTGTGGTGCTGGTGTGATAGATGAGATAGTATCTGCTAAATGTGATGTCCTAGTGTGTCGGTAAGAGACTTGTGGTGCTGGTGGGATAGCGTAAGTTTAGAAGAAACAATATTTGTTAGTGGTATCCATGGCATTTTTTATTAAGATTTAGTTATGATTCTCTTCTCTTATTCTTTCTACTCTCAT